CCGCCTGGTCTATGCCTATCAATCCGCGGGGACCGAATCAGATTTTTGTTGTATTCGATCGGCCTATGAGGCTGGAAGGTGCAAGAATATGGAACTACTTCAATCGGGGCGAAACCAGCACCGGAGCGCGAGACATTAGCATCCGATTGGACGAGAAATCGGTATTTACGGGGACGCTGCCGGAATGCGGGACAGCCAGCCCAAACAAGCCGATCTTGATAGCGTGGGGGCATCAAAACAGAGCCAATGGCAAACAAGTGTGCGCAAGATAACCACATCTCTCCTGACTAATTAGGGATAACTAACCGAATAATGTTCATATTCCATGTCTTCTGGTGAAAATGCCAGTCTCGTCTAGGTACTCCTATTCTGCAGATTTTTTGTCCAGTGTAATCAGTCGTCTTCCTGTAAATTTACAACGTTTTTACCCTTCTCACTTTCGTAAAGGTTTCTGTTTTCTATGTTTCTAATCTGCCGTAAAAGGTGCTATCTTACTGTCTAGGCCATCGTGATTGAGTCCGCTCTGTAACTACCTATACGAGCTTCTAGCCAAGAGTTCAGAATATGGCGGCCACATACCCCTGGGCCCTTGTTTTTGCCCCAAGCGGGGCCAAGGATCTCTGTCCTTCCTATCAATATTACAGTCGGACATACAGATTGACGCTTCGATTTGGTGTCTGCCTCGGTGAGGCAGGCCCGATATTATGGTGGCAATCGGGTGTATGGCCCCAGTTAGAAAACAGGAAGCAGGGACTCTTGTAATACGGCAATGCTGAGCATAGGCGCTTTATGCTCATCCGACAGATAGTTGTTTTCGCGAAAAAATTGGAAAAATTACATTTACGCCATTAGTTTGTTTAAATACACCAATAAACCTTAAAGCGAGCGCGCAATTGAAAATATTAGAAATAAGGGGCTGCAAGCGGGCAGAAATAGTTAAACCGAGGCACTGATAAAATATTCCAGTCCGTGCTGACCAATCACATATAAGAGGAATAGGCGAAGATCATATCATTAAATCCAAATTTCGTGATGGCTGCGACTGAAGATGAAATGGAAGTTGTCAGCGCTGTTAATCTAATCTCTAACCCCAAACCTGTCTTAAGTCTAACGCTACCTTTAGCCATCACCTCAGACTGTAATAGTAACCCTAGCCTCCTAATCTTAAACCGAACGCCAACTCTAATAGTGATACTTAAGGACTGTCCAACGAAAAATGAACGGAGACAAAGATAGGTTAACCCAATTCTACTCAAATTATATGAATAGCTATTTATTAGAAGTGAATACTGAGGGGGGCCACAAACCCAATCGTTGCCAATAGTAAAGCGGTCGCTCCGGTCTCCTCAGGACACCCTTTGGGCCGCGTGGACTAAACACCGCTTAGGCTACCGACCGACTAAGATTTTACACGGCATGGCAAAACGCTTCCCCATTTTTGGTGTGATCCAACCA